TTGCCTTTCTTGTTGAACCTTGTCTTGATAACTTGGCAAGAGCTGCTTCAAGTGAAGAAATCTCTCCAGAAAACGTTTATCTGAAGTGGTACATATAATATAGAGTGGTATTAATAAGTTTAAAAGGTAATTTCATATTCAGGGATGGATCATATTAGTTTTCTATAGGACAAAATGCTACGTTCAACAGGAGCTTGCATGATGTCACAACGGCAGCTTGTTTGGAGGACTCGTTCCTTAACAACAAATAGCTAGTATGGGAGCACTAGTTTTTTACTGACAAAAGAAGAAATGGTACAACGTAAGAGGTGTATTTTATTTCTCTCTTCCTTTTGGAAAGAAGTTAGATATCTGATTCATTAAAGTTGATGTCTATGCATTTGACATCTTTACATGAGTACACAACTAAACATAATAAAGATTTCATGTTTATTCATGGTTTTCTAGTTCTTGATCAATATGACTTTTATTTTACTTATTGCATTGTCACTGAAAATACCCAGCATATATTGTTCGTAGTTTTCTAATTCTCAATCGAGTTTATGTCATTTTTTAGTGACTATCTGTCAGTTTTATCATGTCATTCAAGGTGCTCATACATACCACTATACCAGAACATTAATTCGAGATATTTTCTAGCATCTCACATCCTTCCATATCCTATGCTTCTACAAAATTGTTATAGTCAATAATGGATACAACATAATTTTTGACTATGCTGGAGTCATGAATCTCCTGGTTGTGTATATACATATCTAATTTCCTGCTCTTGCAGAGGATGGTATATATTAGAATTATGTGAAAGTGAAGGTGGAATGACTTCATTGGCACTCAAAGCAAAACATGAGAGATCCTTTTCACCGTTTGGAGAATATCTTTCCCTTTGTTTTATCCCAGTTCTACAGTCGCCTCAATGTCTTTTGTCTCTTGGATATGAAGATTAAACTGTGCAGGCAGGTAAATATTCCTGAATTTGAATTAGTTATATCAGCAACAAAACCTTTATCCAAACTTTTGATGTTGGTTTTATGAATCCTTTCTTCCAATTCTTCAAGCATTATTTCCATGATTAAGTTATAACCTATCATTTCTCTTTTAATTGCTTCCATCCGGATTCATTTAGTTCTTGTCTATCAATATGTTCACATTGCTTCTACTACCTGGCTCACTTATTGTTTTCCATCATGATTGTCTAAACTATCTCAATTGCTCCCACTTCAATTTTCATAAACTGGAGCAAACTCCAATAATCTGAGTTCTTGTGGATGCATTCATTTATTATTTTCTCTTGTTGTATTTTCCCTCATCCACTCATGATTCTCATTTGTGTCACATTCTTTTTTTGGATATGTTGTTTCTTAATTGTCCAACATTATGATTCAAAAGCTCATTCATTTTGTAGTTATGTTCAAGTAAATTCTTAAATTTGTTTCCCTAACCATTACACCAAAACTCCAAAGTTATGTTGAGGATCAAGGATTATAGTTTTATATTAATTCTAACATGCCCTCGCAGGTTGAGCGCCCTTTTTTGGGTCAAAAACTGGATTCACATAGCGGCGTCAATTTTTAGAAAATCCACATTTAATTCATGGCCGGTGGGATTTGAACCTGGGTTGCTCTGACCATCTTAAATTTAGTTTCCTTAACTATTACACCAAAACTCCGAAGTTATGTTGAGGATCAAGGATTATAGTTTTATATTAATTCTAACACAAATGATTAGACCTTTTTACATTCTTTCCATTTTTAGATAATTTGCACAAGCTAGAAATTTAATACATAAAATTCAGAATGCATGAATATTATTATATTTGAATTACAGTAAATAATTGTGGATCGTCATATATGAATATTGACAGTGTATGAGCATATATAGTTGTAATCTCTTACGTTAAACCCTATATCATGTTAATGTGTTATCAAACTCTTTGGTTAGAATCTATTTGATAAGCTGACCTGAATCATTATATAAAAAGAAACGGTTGGAGGGAAAAGTTTATTGAGATAGGTTGTGTGGAGGTTGAAACCCTGCAGTAAGCACTTATCCTATTTTTGTTTGTCAAGCATGCCGTTCCTGTTGGATAAGTAAATTATATACATTAATGTATGCATCTGGTTCTTGAACTTCATGGGTACAGAAGCCGCAAGACTAGTTGCAACCAAATCCATTCTAACTGATGGATGAACATGATTTGAGTATCTGCAGTTTTATTACAATAGATTCTTTATGAAGTATGTCAATGCATTCCTGTGTGAAAGCATTATCTGCAAAGATCCTGTTCCAGCTAGCTAGCTACTTGGATGAATCCCATGATCAGCTGCTCCTCTCAGTACCTTCCAAATCTCAATCAACCTATCAACAACTTAAAATGCCATAATAATCTCACAATAAAAACCATGAGAACCGATCACCACCTTGAACCAAATCATTATAGCTTCCAAAAAAATAAAAAAAACTTTCAATAATTTTTAACTTAATTTATGAGAAATTCTGGTTGATGACATGATTATAGTGATCAAGGTAGGTTAACTGTTTCCAACAATCGTATGCTTGCATCAGCAAATCTAGGCCAGCGGCTGACCCTCAGTGCCCTCCAAGAGTGGGTATGAGAAAAAATAATTGTTTGTTTACATCTACTGTGTTATTTATTTGCTCAATTCAAGGCTTAATATTAGCAATTGGCTTGGATGAGGAAACGCATAATACGGGAAAATCTGATATCAGATGCTGAGGTTCGTAGGTGGTATCTCGAAGAGAGAAATTCTGTAACTGTGAGTCTGTGAGAACCAAGTTCTTGTGTTTGTGCTTTTCCTTTGGGTTTAGCTATGCTTTCAACCTTGAAATTGATAGATGGGGAGATTTGAGTCCTAATTTGAGACTGACTGAAAGAGCAGAGAATCACTTGCAACTCCTCGCCAGTGATAAATATAAACCAATTAGTTATGAGTTTTAATTGAGTCTGTATCTGCTTTTCTTTTCTTTTTAAGTGAGGAAACTCGTGTTAATATAAATCATTTCGTTATTGGCATATTAACGTAACAAAATGGAATAGTTCCGCTCCTACCTTTTTTTGTACAAAAAAATAAAAACAAAGTCATGGACTGGTGGAGAGCAATCAAACTACATTGGAGAGGTTCTTCTTATTAATGGATTGTTTTTGAGAAATAGGTGCATCTTTTGCGCGCTTCTAGGATCCAAACCTTGCTGTCCTCTTTATTGGCCACCCTCCTTTACCATTTTTTCCCCTTGTGGTGAGAACTGTATATTATACCTGAGTGGGAGCTACCACAAATTTTTTTTTGCTTGTTCTGCATGTATTTTCTTACATAAACTGAATTCAGAAAGATGATTATGATTAAATACTGAATAGATTATCTGGATAAGGATCATCTTGTGTAGAGACACATTAGAAAATTCTTGATATAATTTCATATTATCTCCCTCTTTATTCTCCTTTTGCTTAATGATTCCAACCCATAATAGCTTGATGATTTCAGTCTTTATGATTCTTCAAATTCTGTTGGTCATGATTTGGCCTATAGTAGAGCTCCAAAGAAAGGGAGCTGCCACATTAATTAATTAATTTGTAACACAACATTGTCATCAAATCCATGCTCTAGATTATACATATTGTATGTTTACATGTATATGTTGATGTTGATTATTGTAGCTAGTTCATCATTCTACAATGATTGTAGGACATTAACAATGATTGAATGTATCCCAAATTGATGCAATATAGAACAACGCAAACAATATAATACAGATAGTATGTTTATTATATACAATTGTTTGATGGGAGTTGACATAGCTAGTTACAATGATTGCAATCAATTTGACATTGCTCTTTCATTATGTCATGCAATTCAATTTCACTGCTCGCTCATACTTTTAAAATTGTCAAGTATCGTCGGAGAAACGAGGGAACAAGCACCTCTTTCTCCTTAAACCTTAGTTATAACACTGTTGATTATATTATCGTTTCTTAAGAATGGAATGGAACCAGGGTCCTTATGAAAGCTCCATTACCATTGACTTTTCACGTGGATAGAGCCCCCAAAGAAAGCATCTCGCAAGGCACCTGCCAGTGATTGCATCGACTCCGTGGATACTGCAGGCAAATCATCTTGTATCCTTTGTTTTTTGGTGCATGATCTTCTCCATCAATCTTGCCATTGCCACCCCCACTCAAACTATAAGGATTATGTGGGAATTCCCTTCTGTACCCAACTTGCCTTCAATTAAAAAATATGCTTGTTTGTGTGTGTGCGCGCGCACGCCTTCAATTAAAAAATATGAGTTTTTTGTGTGTGTGTGTGTTTCATCACCTTTTATTTATAAAGTGAAGGCATTCATTTCAGAATAGCGTTTATCGTTTTGATTGTATGGAGAAAAGTAGTATGTGTGCATAGGCTTGATCAAGGAGAGGTTAAGTTTGAAATAGATGAATGTTGGTTAGTTGGTGTTGTGAGAAGAGTGAAGTGGCATTGAGAGGGACTTTGGTGGTTAGTTTAGATTGTGATGGCATTTATAGGGAGTTTTGGTGTTTTGTTTCCCTAGGGCACATGGTCTTTCTGTTAGGTTGTGGGGAGAGCTCAAGTGTGCATGCATGTGCTACCATGTGCTTCACTCTCCACCCAAATTCCTGTTTTGGCACACCTAACCAGTTTGAAGGAGCCTGTAACAAGAGCCCTTTCTAAGGGAGGGCAGCCCCAGCTGAGGTTTAGCTCTTGGGCCCTTTTGCTCCCCCTTATGACCACTGCCCTCATATTTTTATTTGTTTTTTCCCCTCTCTGCCTGCAAGAAGATTTCAGAGTAGCTCCAAATCTTTCCCTCTCCACCCCTCAATTATTTTGTATATGTGCTGGCTCCCATAGATCAAAGGACTTTCATTAACATTCTTTTTAGGAGAACATTTGCGTGAAAGCTTAAAGCATATTGAGAACTTGGGTTTGTCATATCGTCAATATAAGCATATTCTTACTCGAAAAAACAGTGAGGCCAAACTTCTCTTCTCTCCACTAGTACAGCCAGCGCTGAGTTTTATAGCAAAGGTAGGGAGAGAGCTATTTGAACCTTCTTATTAGTTTCCTTTCATTGTTCACACCTATTTACATTATATGCAGGACTAGATAACCGAGCAACGTTGTCGTTTGCTATTCTATTCTATCATATTAGAAGTAGGAGAATCAAGTCTAATGTTAATCTCTGGTTCCTGTACAGCTGTACTTCAATCTTTATAGCAAGTCCCCTGTATCTTCTTCATTGTTCTTGCATGCAGCAATGAATGCTTTAAACTAGTCAAGATGATAGCAATATATATATTTTTAATGATTAAAATAAGCGGCATTGCTCGTCTCTCCTACAGTTTATCAAGCAGCTCGTATGTCTCCTGTAGTGCTATGTCTTTTGTACTGTTTTTGATTTTTGAATTAAGACCTCTTCTTTCATGATACGGTGCTTACAGTAGTCTTTGGTTATCACAATGGAGGAAGCACAGAGAAGCAAGCGGAGGCGTGTCTACTCCTTTGATCCAGATGCTATAACATACACCAACTCCTCTCAGAGGTACTTAAGTTATCTTCTCCCTGATCTTCTTAGAGCTGTAACCAATAAAACCAAGACTACACAGGTTGAAACGATTGTGAGATTTGATGTAGACCTGGCCCTGTTATTATCCACCGATGACTTCAAATGTTGCTGTGCTCTAAAACACAATCTCTATGAAAGTTCCAACACTAATAAGCTTCACTTATCTTCAAAATGCAGCACTGAGAATGAGGGCAACACTCATTTTGACATACTCAAGAGGTTTGAAGGTCTTCAGACATTTCCAGCTATACATAGGCCTGTTATAGTTGCTCGACAAAGGATCTCAGAGAAGGGGACTGTGGGAGGAGAGAAGGAGCTGGCTTGCTGCATCAGGAAACTGCAAAAGATTTTGCCTGGTGGAAATGATATGGGTATTTCTGAGCTGCTCTCTGAAGTGGAGAGCTATGTGGTTTGCTTAAAGTTGCAGGTGTATGTTCTCAGGTCTCTTGTTGATGCACAATCATAGAAGTTGCTTTGTTCAGCATCTACTTTGGTTTCAGCATGGAATAAAGCATGTGGGAGAGATGTTTGTTTCGTTGATGTTTATTACCTCTGGAGTTAAGCATGTAGATAGAATGAGGAAGAAGTTTCAGATTGTTGCTATCTTAATACAAGTTTGTGGGTACTTTTTCAAAAATATTTTGGGCTCGAAAATGTTTACTTTGTTGAGTTGAGAGGAGCGGCGGTGGACACTAAAAAATATTTCAGTACTCTCAAACACAAATACTCTCTCTCTAGTACAAAATTCTTTTACAACACACTATTATTTCACTCTCTCTCTCTCTCTCTTTGCTACTGGGATGATCTCAAACAAACACTTGGAGAGTTATTTATAACATTGGTTTATGAGTATGTAATAATACTATTAGGGTTAGGTGATTACTGTAGCTAGGTAAGTGGGGGGTAGGTAAGTGAAGCTGCTGACTTTTAACACTCCCCCCTCAGCACCGACTTCTCCATTCATGAGTCTAAGCTAACTTTGAAGTACTTAGTGCTTTGGTGAATATGTCAGCTATTTGTTCGTTTGTCCCGATTGGCTTCATTACGATCTCCTCCTAAAGAACGTTCTCTCAAAGAAAGTGATGATAAACTTCGATGTGCTTTGCTTTGTCCTAGCATGAAAACTGGATTACCTACCAATCGTATTGCAGACTGATTATCACAATGTATGTCCTTGTTGGGTGTATATATGAGAAGATTGCAAATATACTTGTAAAATCATGTTGGGTGTTTCTATCAGGATCTTAGTTCAAAACAGTGTATGTATTTTATTTTGTTGTTCTGGATACAGCCTAAGTATGTATACTTTATGAATTAATCTGTATTAACTTCGTGTTGTATTTGTTACAGTAGTATATATATTTTTTCATAGTTGGTTCATTATTTAATCATGTTTAATTATTGCATTCTAGAAGTGCAAATTCGTGTTTTTTTAGACTTTGATGCTGTATATAGTACTTCCCGGGTTAACTCCCAAAAACCTTGATTAGTATACTTAATTGATTTGCTGCGTTCTGTTTTGAAAAGGTTTAAGGTTATGATTGGTGCTTATATTTATTTGCCTCTTCTTCTGCGTTTGACTCTTGTGTTTGACTTCTACTGGTGGATAGGTTCGTGAAAGTGAGGCTCTTGTTTCTTGCGCTTGTGATTTAGAGTTGGGACTTTTTGAGTTCCAATCTATTTGTTAGAGCTTCTTAAGCTCAGATATTTCTTAAACTTTTCCACCTAATTTGAGGAAGCCATGAAATGAAACCTACCAAGTACTAGGAACAAATTAGCTGAGGGGCGAAATGTGAGTATTTCAGGCTCACTTAAAGTTCAACATGCTCAGATGTCTAATAAAATTACAATGGTTATGCAGTCAATAGCAGCCCTCGAGTCGGCCAAAGCCCACAAAATTGTTTGGGACAAAGTTTGGCCCATGAAATGTCTGACAACAATATTCCAAAGCCAGACTAACAAGCTTTGGGTTCAATCAATGGGCAGCCCAATCTATCTCGCGTCTGAGAAAGCGGAAGCTCTCGCGGCCCAGTAGACTCTCAAGAGGAACGGGCCTTAGCTTTTGAAACTTTTGGAGCGGCCTTCTGACGATCGGACCACTTGTCGGGATCTCGCGTACATTGCCGTAGTCGTACTGGAGGGGGGGGGGGGAAAAATTGCCGTAGTCGTACTGGAGGGGGGGGGGGAAAAAGTAAAAAAATAATGTTCAAAACTAGATGAACATATAGTTCCAATTATTATAAAATAGAGAAACGAGCGCAAAAGACAAAAGTTAAGTAGACTAAAAAGTCAGAATCTAAAGCTGAAATGTATCTGATCAATCTGACTCGCAGTAATCGCAACATAAAACCGGAGGTAAAGCAAATGGCCGGCCATGAAGTACTGTAGTCGGCCCCCCTAGCCTAGCCTACGTACAAATGCTCTCTCGATCAATTTTTTGTAGATCAATTTAAATTAAGCCTCAGTGGCCCAGATCATCATCGACTGTTCAGCCAATGAGTATGATCTCAAGTATTTGAATAGCTTTACGCGTCACGCCGAAAAATAAAGATGACACGCCACTCGATCACCAAGGTTTGGGGATTGAGATCGATCCTAGAATTAATATATGGTCCCCTTGTGGGTTACCGACCCCAAAGGTAGCCACATCAACCACCGGCTTAACTTGTACGTACGCTCCCTCGGTTTGAGAAATTAAGAGAAGGCTCATAGGGATTGGTGGCAACAAGTCAAGTGATGAGGTTTGCTCTCATGAGCGCCTCATCAACAGTATATTGCTGATATACGGGAGCATGGTCGCATGTTGTGCTCGTAATCGAATCTATTCTTCTACGAGGAGCGCTATTTACGAAGGAGCAGCTAAGCTACCGTGCTGTCTGAACGGTGGATGATGGACCAGGGTTGGATCGGAGGTAATTAGGAGAATCCTATATTATATATTGGATATACGCTGTAGCAGTGTTCGACGTTGGCACCGCAAATCGAAAAGAGCTGGGGGAGCCATCCCCGGTACAGTGCAGACTGGGAGAGAGCTTGTTCCTTTTGACTACTACAAATTAAAGCCCTTCGCTCTCCATTCTATGTAGTACAGAAATGGGGGGTGGATTATTGAGTGGACTTGATGTGATGTATGGATCTGCACTGTTAATTAGGGGCTAGCTAGGGCCCTATATCATCACTCACTCGCTCGCTACACGAATGAATAGCTAGCTAGCCCCCAGCTCTTGTGGATATTACCTTGTTTCTTTTTTACTGTTTAAGGGTGTGCTCTTTGATCCTGCCTGCGGTACGGTAAACTTCAAATCTAGAAATTGTCTCTACACCCTGAATTATCTTCAAAATGCTCAGTGCCCATGTCGATCACCAGCCATATATTTAATCTTCGATCTACTTATTACGTACACAATCAAAGATTAACTAGTTAAGTTATATGTCACTCCATTAAATGTCATAAATCAAGATCACTTGGTATTTTCTCTAAAAGATAATGCCCGGCCAATTTAATTTGCTTGCTGGTGTACGATATGAATGTAAGATATATGCATCCCTTTATACAATAGAATTTTTAGTATGCTCAAGTCTGCCGACCAAATATAAAGAGCTATACGATAGATAGGATAGTTTTTTTTAAAAAAAAAACCGATCGATTATTCAAAGAATTCTTTTCTTCTTGTTATTTTCTCAGTTGATATTACTATTTTTGTGAAACCACCTAAAAGGTTTCATTCAAAAGGCTGTAGTAACACGGGGGGCAAAAATGAACAATATCAAGATACAGTAGTCAGGATGAAAAATCTCAGTTTCACCTTGACTTGACTGTCAGATGAATTTAAAAAACGACATCGTTGAATAGAATTAGCTCAAGTTTTGATCTCATAACAAAAAAGCTCCACACTAAAAGAGGCTTAATTAGAGCTATATATAACAGTAACACCCCCGCAGTTATCAAAGTTAAGTTAAGTTTTTCTAGCTTTTTTAAGCATTGATTATTATTTGAAGAGAATTATAATTTCCTCCTCCTCTTTCAGTCCCCTCAATAGTACATCCATCACATCAACCCTCTGACAAGGAATACATGCAAAAAGCCAAGAAAGTAGATACAATGAGATTATAACCAATCACAACTCCCATTAAAACCTTGAAACCCTATTTAAACCCTAAACCCCCCCTCCCCTCCCCTGTGTTTGTTGTGTAGACGCTGACCCAATGGGAGTGGAAGAAGAATCCCACCCTCTCGCATTGCTTTCACCATCTCACCACTCCCACAAATTAAAGCAACCTCCCTTGTACAGTCTCTCTCTCTCTCTCTCTCTCTGTACCAACAAACAGCAACAAGAGCTCTTTTTCTCTCTCTCTCTCTCTCATGCCCTTTTTTACCCCTAAAATATCACAATGCTCTTTCGATCTAATAGCCGAAACCAGGAAAAGCTGGAAGCTCAAAAATCCCACTTCCATTTCTAGCTACCTATAGTTACTCTCCCTCTCTCTCTGTCCCCCCATTTCCCTCTCTCTTTGCTTAATTTGCTCTATAATAATAGCAAACATGATGAACAGGCTCCCCTCTTCTTCTTCTTCTTCGTCCTCGGTCGACCCCTACTCCATCTTCCCCTTTGCCAGCTCCTTTGACAACTGGAACGCCCAACTCAACTACAGTACCCACACCCACCAAGGCTTTGACGGGTCCCACCACCACCACCCTCACCCTCCTCCTCCTCCTCCTCACCATTCGCTGGCGCCCCTCCCCTTCTACCCCCCTCACTTGGGCTCAGACTACTTCATCAAGAGGGAGGACCATGGGAATATGGGCGGCAGGCCCATTGGGCTCAATCTGGGCCACAGGACTTACTTCTCCTCTGGCGACGGGCTTGCTATAGATCGCAGGCTGATCGTGGGCCGGGCCCACCACCACCACCACCAGCCCCCTAGGTGTCAAGCGGAGGGGTGCAAGGCTGATCTCTCTGGGGCCAAGCATTATCACAGGAGGCATAAGGTCTGCGAGTTCCATTCGAAGGCTGCCGTGGTCGTTGCTGGGGGATTGCAGCAGAGGTTTTGTCAGCAGTGCAGCAGGTGAGAGCAGCTTGCTAGCACGCCTATGTTTCCACTAATAAATTAAATATCCCTGGCAAAAAAAAATTCCATGCCACCGTTTCGGAATTGGATGCGATGATTTTAATAAATTTCCATTGCTTTTGTTTCTGTTCTGGGGTTCTAGTACAACACGCAGCGTCTGAATTGGGTTAGGGTTTAACATGTCCATATATATTTCCACTAAATTTATGATTCAATTAAGCCTTCCACATAATCGCATTGTTAATTTGATCCAATTCTACGCTGAGAGAGAGAGAGAGAGAGAGAGAGAGAGAGAGTGCTTTCTAAATTATAATTAACCATCTATATATATATATCATTTAGTGTGTATGATTATGACTTGCCTAGCTAAGAGTGCAAGGCAATAATTGACACAATTCGCTCCACAGTATTAATTGCTAACCGTGTAAGAAATGAAATGTTCCTTCGACTGTATATTATGGTTTGGGAATGATTGCGGATGTGAAGAACATATGTGGTGCGTGTGAGAGGGAAATAGAAAGGGCTGCTACTACTAAAAGTACCCAGCCTATTTTTTTTCTCTATATTCCTGATCAGTGAATTGGTACATTATATTCCTTCACTCTTAATTAATTTCCTGATCCCTCTCTCCTCCCTCACCAAAAAAAAAAAA